GAGTCAGAACTGACTCCATGGCATACAACAACAACAAGCTGGAGAAATTACTTGGAGGAGAGAGGCATATTTGCCTCTTACAAATAAGATCTTCAAAGATGTTGACATCGGGGATTAGAGACTCCAGACAAACCTTTATAATAGGTGTATCTACTTGATAGCCAGCTAAGGGTCAGAAATGAACTTAATTGAGGGAATTATTGTTATCAAGTGACTTAGAGTTGGTTCTGATTCATAGATACCCTGTATAGGGTTTCTAAGAAGTGGCTGGTGGGTTTGAACCACTGAGTTTTGGATTAGCAGTCCAGTACTTATTCTACAGCAAGACACAGAACAGTCAAAATGCAGCCAGATATTTGGTGGTTTGAACATATCTTTTCAACATCTATTTTAGTTATAAATATAAATTTCTGAAAGAGAAACAAATTTATGATTGCACTTCTCTGTAATCTGACTGTGGATAACATTTAGAAAGAGATAGACACAACATAAGGCTTGCTAGACTTTAGTGTGGACATTGATCCAGTCGTTCACAATTCAGTTGCTGGAGAAAACCTTGTTGGCCCAGAAGGATGGAGTATAAGAATGTAAGAGATGGTAACAGTGAAACAGGTGGCATGACCCATCTTTCCCAAAGTCTTTGTCTTCCAGGTGTGGAAAATAGGAGAGAAAGAACTAGTGACCTGTCCACATGTTAGTAGACAAATCTATTAATCTTTTCTTGTGCTTCGTTTGCACAACACATCTGTGGTGAAGAACGATGCAGGACACTAATCATTCTATTCATCTATATATCAAGATAAAAATGTGGTCATTAAGGTACTACTCTATCAGAGACCATGATCCTGGTCACAGTTAACAGTTGTGAATCTGGTGAAGACATCTAGTCATAGATTTACCAGTTGTGTTCTAGTTGATTACAATGTATTGCAACCTCACATGTGTGAGAGGAGCACTGTATCCCACAGAGTTTTCAATGACTGTTTTTTTTGGAAGCACACTGCCAGGTCTTTTTTCTTAGATGCCTTTGGATAGACTTGAACCTCCAAGCTTATGATTAGTAGTCAAACCATATGTACCACACAGGAACTCCATAGAAATAGTAAAAACAAAACAAAACAGTCCATGGTCATTGAGTTGATTTCTACTCATGGGGATTCTATAAGAAAAGTAGAACTGGCTAAAGAGTTTCCAAGTTTGTAATCTTTACAGAATCAGACTGCCTCATCTTTTTCCTGCAGAGCAGCTGGTGGGTTTGAACTATCTACTTAATCAGTTTTCAGCTGTACACATAACCACTGCACCACCAGGGCTCTTTATAGTAATATTAAAACCAAAATCAAACCTACTGCCACCAAGTCGATTCTGACTCAAAGGAATCATATGTAGGGTTTCTGAGAGCAGACAGCCTCATATTTCTTCCCAGGAGAGGATGGTGGTTTTGAAGCAACAACCTTGCAATTAGCAGCCCAACAGATCCTATAGTACCATCTAACCAAGTTCACATTTATTGAACGCTTTTACAGCTATGTATATTTTCTAACTGAATCCTCAAAACAACATCTAAGGACTATTCTGATCCCCATTTTAGAAATATGGGAGCTGAAGTTTTAATTTGTCCAAAGTCACAGTCTAGGGGATGGTACCTGGCTGGGATTTTAAAGCCAATCTGTTTGGCTCAGCTAGGGCTCTCAGGACTGCCTCACTACCTCCCAAACATTATAAAGTGCCTCGTAAGTGTGGGCAAACCGTCAGACAAGTGTCATGCTTAAACTTTGATACAGTCTTAGTTCACTTTTAGAAGTCCCTGAGTGGCACACATGGCCAAATACTCAACCACTAACCAAAAGCCCTCATGGAACAGTGGCTAAGCACTCAGTTAATAAAAGAGAGGTCTGTGGTTCAAACTCATCAGCCACACCTTGGGAGAAAGATTAGGCAGTCCGTTCCTCTAAAGATTTACAGTCTCAGAAGGAACAGATGTACTGTGTCTTATACAGGGTTACTTTTAGTGGGAATCCACCTGATGGCAGTGGGTTTGTGTTTTTATTCCTTATTCACCCTCAACAATAGTGACAATAAACCATGACAGTGTAGTGGAAGACCCCACTGCTGCCTGAAGCATTGTTCTCTTTTGTAATTTATTTATTGGAATCTTATACTGCTCTGTGGAAATCTAGAGGGACACAGCGTGCTTTAACTATTCTTCCTTCCGGAGTGCCTGGTTCATAGTAGGTGCTCAATGAACTCTTAAATGAATGGATGATCATAGAACTGAATTCCTCTCTAGAAGATGACAGCAGTGTGGGCATAGCACTCAGTTAATTTTCATGACCAGAATGCTTTACTAGATTCCAAGGTTGATTTTCATCTCAAAAATTTCCATCTTAATCTTTTTTAAACCTTAGCATACCAAGAACTATAATATAAATATTTCATAATATTCTTATTTTAATATTTTCTCAAAACACAAATAATTGACACTCCCATCAATTTGAACCAGAACCTTAAGAAGATCATTAAATTAGAGAGATAAACAATTGATCTTGTATTTGGAATGTTAAACTGTGTAGAGAATTTCTGGTGTCACTTGCATTGGAGAAAAAATTATGGGAAAGACTAAAACCTATTGGATAATACCTTACACAATTGGGGAATATACATTTTTGCTCCAGGGCAGAGTGGGAGTTTGCAGCTTCCATCCTGAGGCATTACCTTCAGAATCCATGTAATTCTGACTTGGTTTGCTTAACTGTGGTGGAATTAATTGTCATACAGCTCTTCAGGTTTTATTTTTTTATTTTTTTAGCCTGAGCTACAATCCTTGGCAGAAGTGAATTCCTGATAATGGTAATGCTTTAGTTCCCTGAGAATCATGCTCTTGTAATTTTTTTCCCCCGAAAGTTGAAATCATTTATAGCATAAGTGTCCTATACTTAAGTATGCCCACCACTTAAGCATCTAATCTGATGGGCTGATATTAAAATACAGTCCATTACATTAGATAGTTGGACTTAAAAGGTCATTTCATTTGCCAATGCACTATAACTTAAAAACCAAATAAAAAATTATAAAGTTTGTAGCAAAAAAATCATGAGACCACAAACAACTCTTTTACCCTCCAGTCTCAACAATTTCTTATAGAATGAGGAATACATTCTTAATTTCAGAGTGGGCTTCAAATAAGGTATAGATTGATTGACAACTGAAATGTTAATAAATTCTGATTAGAAGTGAAGTTTCCATAGCTACAATTCAGGTTATAGAACATGATTATACTTGTAAAGACATCAGAATAGAAATAATTGGTAATCACTAAAATATGAAAAATTGAAATTTCATTATATAGTTGAACTGTTAGTTTCAAAATGCCTCTTTCAGTCTTCAAAGAAAGTTAAAGATGAAAGGATAACTTAAATTTTAATTGGCCTATTTTTCCCCCCTACTAATTAACTTTGATTCTGATTTTTCTGTCTGACTCAAATATGCCCATATTTTATATCACACAGAATATTCAGCCGAGGACAGTAAATTTGATGAAGCTTACTTTTCTTGTATAAGGAGCTCTGGTAGCGTAGTGGTTACGAATTGGGCTGCGAACCTTAAGGTCAGCAGTTCGAAACTACCAGCCGCTCCGCGGGAAAAAGATGAGGCTTTCTACTCCCGTAAAGATTTACACCCTCGGAAACCCTGTACAGGGTCGCTATGGGTCGGAACCGACTCGATGGCACTTCACAACAACAACTTCACAACTTTTCTTGTATATAGTCATTTACACTTAGTTCTATTTTTAAATTTGGTTAAAGCAAAATTGTGTATTCTCTGGCTTGATTGATCTTGAGACTTGTACTTGAAGGCATGGTAAATTTCATAGACCACCCGGTTATACAGCCATGCATCCATCCACATATACCCACTCAGAGTTATTGATTCTGTCAACTTTCCTCTCCCACTTTTACTATAGTGAGATTAGCTAACATTGATAGCATGCTCATGATTGCCAAACTCTATGCCAACATCTTTACAGTCATCACCCCTGTTAATCATCAGTTCAGGAGTGGGAGCTACTATTGCCATCAGTTTACAAGGGAAATATGTAATGGTTGATAGCCTTATCTTTTTTGTTTTCTGTTGATTTGATTTTGTCTGCTTAGGAATCCTTTTCTATGGCTCTGCTATTAAAATGTGCAAGTTGCAATGATATAAGAGTTATAACTGCTTGAACTACAGACGGGTTTGGATTAATGTGGCCTTGGTGATCTGTGACACTTGTTGTTGTGAGGTGCTATTGGGTCAGTATCAACTCATAGCGACCCTATGCACATCAGAACAAAACACTGCCTGGTCCTGGGCCAACCTCACTACTGTTGACACACTTAAGTCCATTGATGCTGCTATTTGGCCAATCCATCTCGCTGGGGGTCTTCCTCTTTTTCTCTGACCCTCCACCTTACCAAACATGATATCCTGTGATACTTGAGTTTGCCATTATTGAATACTAGTCTGAAAAATAATGGGGAGGTTATAAGGGATCTTTCCTAGATTTAAATTTATATTTTGGAAAACACAACAAGAACATACTTTAAAATTCATTATATTCTTTATTTGAATTTGAACTTAAAGATCTGTATGGCCATTAGAAATAAGTTTAACTTAGATCTGATACATCTTGTAGGATATAATTTTGAGACAACAAAATCATGACTATACCTAAAGCAAATCTATCATTCAGCACAATAGTTGAAAATCATGGTAGCTTTTAGTACCAGAACTTTGACCTTTGTCCTGATATTGCTGTGACTTTGAAAGAGTATTTGCTACTTAGGCAATACTCATTTACTATTTACTTAAAAAATCCTCTGACTGCCTGCAAGTTCTAATATGATTAGATTCCAATGTAAACATTGTCAATTTGGACTAACAAGATATTAGGGATAATAAACAACATCTTGATTTTTCCCCAGTTCTTGATGAAGGGATAATGTGCTCTCATCCTGCAGGAAGTGCTCCTTTTTTACATGATTTCTTCCAAAATGATGAGTTCTCATCCTGAGGAAGACCCTTTGGATGCGTTTCTCCAGTACATAGAAGACATGGGGATGAAGGCCTACGATGGCTTGGTTATACAGAATGCATCAGACATTGCTCGAGAAAATGATCGCTTGAGAAATGAAACAAACCTGGCTTACTTGAAGGAGAAGAATGAGAAACGCCGAAGACAAGAAGAAGCAATAAAACGGTAAAGTATGAATGCACGTGTTCCAAATTTCTCACGCATGTGTAATGTTGAGTGCTGCTGAGGTTGTGCATTGTCACCTGATAAAGAGGTTGTCAAAGTTGGTTAGACTGATTGGACAATGTAAAGTAGTACCTCAGTTGTAACCCATGTTGTGGACAAGGTCCTGGTCTGAGTTAACAAAAGTCACTGACTTAGGAGTTGTGTGTATGAAAGCACAGACTGGAAGGCGATGGAATCCAGTTCCCTTTCAATAAAAGTTTTGACTGAATATTTTGTGATAAAATCTTAGACACACAGACATCCTTTCAAAGCCAATGTTTGATGAAAATCCCCAATTTTTAATGGTTTTCATATAGAGTTTTTACCTTATAATAGGGTTTATCTTCTTTCTAGATTATGCCTAAGACTCATCAATAACAATTAGTGATCCTCTGAAGGTGGGCAGAACTTTAATTGTATATTCTCTGTACAGAAATTTACGGCTATTATATTATTATCGGGTACCAAGTGTTCCAGGTTCATTCAAGTGTAGTGACTGTTATATTGCAAAACCTAAGAGTTACAAGCAAATAAATCCAGAATTATAGTCTTCCAAATTGGCGTTAACTTTCCTAGGGCACTGAGAGAGAAGAGAAATGATAACTATCTTTGTTGTTGTTTTTTTAAGTGTTTGGTTTCTGCGAGTGTACGCATATCTGTGTGTATGTGTGCACATTTTCTACTGGTAGAAGATATGATATTAAATGGATAACTGAGCACAAATAATTATGCTATTTTGATGGTTTATCAATGGATCAGTCATCTTATCTAGTGTTAATGTTTGGACCTTTGCCTACTCTGACCATCATGGTATTTTGGAGAAGAACATACTATTTTAAGATGAGCTACTCATCTTTCCAGCATTGGTAGTTCAGGGTACACTACTGCATTAGGCTAATAGTGGGAACTTTATATGGAAGGAGTTCTGTTGGGGCAGTTTTTAAAGCACTTGATTGCTCACAAAAAGGACAGTAGTTTAAACCCATCAGCTACTACATGGGAGAAAAAGATGGCGGTATGCTTCATAAAGACTTACAGCTTTGGAAACCCTATGAGACTGTGAACCACAACATAGGCAGTTCAAACCCACCAGCTGCTCCTCAGAAATCCTACACAAGGTCGCTATGAGTCAGAACCAACTATACAGGATTCAAATTGTTGTTGTTCTGTGCCATCGAGTTGGTAGCGACTCATAGCAACCCTATGCACAAGAATGAAACACTGCCTGGTCCTGGGCCAACCTCACTACTGTTGCCACGCTTGAGTCCATTGATGCTGCCACTTGGCCAATCCATCTCGTTGGGGTCTTCCTCTTTTTCTCTGACCCTCCACCTTAACAAA